CCTTGTCATGTCACAGCCATCCTTGTCATGTCACAGCCATCCTTGTCATGTCACAGCCATCCTTGTCATGTCACAGCCATCCTTGTCATGTCACAGCCATCCTTGTCATGTCACAGCCATCCTTGTCATGTCACAGCCATCCTTGTCATGTCACAGCCATCCTTGTCATGTCACAGCCATCCTTGTCATGTCACAGCCATCCTTGTCATGTCACAGCCATCCTTGTCATGTCACAGCCATCCTTGTCATGTCACAGCCATCCTTGTCATGTCACAGCCATCCTTGTCATGTCACAGCCATCCTTGTCATGTCACAGCCATCCTTGTCATGTCACAGCCATCCTTGTCATGTCACAGCCATCCTTGTCATGTCACAGCCATCCTTGTCATGTCACAGCCATCCTTGTCATGTCACAGCCATCCTTGTCATGTCACAGCCATCCTTGTCATGTCACAGCCATCCTTGTCATGTCACAGCCATCCTTGTCATGTCACAGCCATCCTTGTCATGTCACAGCCATCCTTGTCATGTCACAGCCATCCTTGTCATGTCACAGCCATCCTTGTCATGTCACAGCCATCCTTGTCATGTCACAGCCATCCTTGTCATGTCACAGCCATCCTTGTCATGTCACAGCCATCCTTGTCATGTCACAGCCATCCTTGTCATGTCACAGCCATCCTTGTCATGTCACAGCCATCCTTGTCATGTCACAGCCATCCTTGTCATGTCACAGCCATCCTTGTCATGTCACAGCCATCCTTGTCATGTCACAGCCATCCTTGTCATGTCACAGCCATCCTTGTCATGTCACAGCCATCCTTGTCATGTCACAGCCATCCTTGTCATGTCACAGCCATCCTTGTCATGTCACAGCCATCCTTGTCATGTCACAGCCATCCTTGTCATGTCACAGCCATCCTTGTCATGTCACAGCCATCCTTGTCATGTCACAGCCATCCTTGTCATGTCACAGCCATCCTTGTCATGTCACAGCCATCCTTGTCATGTCACAGCCATCCTTGTCATGTCACAGCCATCCTTGTCATGTCACAGCCATCCTTGTCATGTCACAGCCATCCTTGTCATGTCACAGCCATCCTTGTCATGTCACAGCCATCCTTGTCATGTCACAGCCATCCTTGTCATGTCACAGCCATCCTTGTCATGTCACAGCCATCCTTGTCATGTCACAGCCATCCTTGTCATGTCACAGCCATCCTTGTCATGTCACAGCCATCCTTGTCATGTCACAGCCATCCTTGTCATGTCACAGCCATCCTTGTCATGTCACAGCCATCCTTGTCATGTCACAGCCATCCTTGTCATGTCACAGCCATCCTTGTCATGTCACAGCCATCCTTGTCATGTCACAGCCATCCTTGTCATGTCACAGCCATCCTTGTCATGTCACAGCCATCCTTGTCATGTCACAGCCATCCTTGTCATGTCACAGCCATCCTTGTCATGTCACAGCCATCCTTGTCATGTCACAGCCATCCTTGTCATGTCACAGCCATCCTTGTCATGTCACAGCCATCCTTGTCATGTCACAGCCATCCTTGTCATGTCACAGCCATCCTTGTCATGTCACAGCCATCCTTGTCATGTCACAGCCATCCTTGTCATGTCACAGCCATCCTTGTCATGTCACAGCCATCCTTGTCATGTCACAGCCATCCTTGTCATGTCACAGCCATCCTTGTCATGTCACAGCCATCCTTGTCATGTCACAGCCATCCTTGTCATGTCACAGCCATCCTTGTCATGTCACAGCCATCCTTGTCATGTCACAGCCATCCTTGTCATGTCACAGCCATCCTTGTCATGTCACAGCCATCCTTGTCATGTCACAGCCATCCTTGTCATGTCACAGCCATCCTTGTCATGTCACAGCCATCCTTGTCATGTCACAGCCATCCTTGTCATGTCACAGCCATCCTTGTCATGTCACAGCCATCCTTGTCATGTCACAGCCATCCTTGTCATGTCACAGCCATCCTTGTCATGTCACAGCCATCCTTGTCATGTCACAGCCATCCTTGTCATGTCACAGCCATCCTTGTCATGTCACAGCCATCCTTGTCATGTCACAGCCATCCTTGTCATGTCACAGCCATCCTTGTCATGTCACAGCCATCCTTGTCATGTCACAGCCATCCTTGTCATGTCACAGCCATCCTTGTCATGTCACAGCCATCCTTGTCATGTCACAGCCATCCTTGTCATGTCACAGCCATCCTTGTCATGTCACAGCCATCCTTGTCATGTCACAGCCATCCTTGTCATGTCACAGCCATCCTTGTCATGTCACAGCCATCCTTGTCATGTCACAGCCATCCTTGTCATGTCACAGCCATCCTTGTCATGTCACAGCCATCCTTGTCATGTCACAGCCATCCTTGTCATGTCACAGCCATCCTTGTCATGTCACAGCCATCCTTGTCATGTCACAGCCATCCTTGTCATGTCACAGCCATCCTTGTCATGTCACAGCCATCCTTGTCATGTCACAGCCATCCTTGTCATGTCACAGCCATCCTTGTCATGTCACAGCCATCCTTGTCATGTCACAGCCATCCTTGTCATGTCACAGCCATCCTTGTCATGTCACAGCCATCCTTGTCATGTCACAGCCATCCTTGTCATGTCACAGCCATCCTTGTCATGTCACAGCCATCCTTGTCATGTCACAGCCATCCTTGTCATGTCACAGCCATCCTTGTCATGTCACAGCCATCCTTGTCATGTCACAGCCATCCTTGTCATGTCACAGCCATCCTTGTCATGTCACAGCCATCCTTGTCATGTCACAGCCATCCTTGTCATGTCACAGCCATCCTTGTCATGTCACAGCCATCCTTGTCATGTCACAGCCATCCTTGTCATGTCACAGCCATCCTTGTCATGTCACAGCCATCCTTGTCATGTCACAGCCATCCTTGTCATGTCACAGCCATCCTTGTCATGTCACAGCCATCCTTGTCATGTCACAGCCATCCTTGTCATGTCACAGCCATCCTTGTCATGTCACAGCCATCCTTGTCATGTCACAGCCATCCTTGTCATGTCACAGCCATCCTTGTCATGTCACAGCCATCCTTGTCATGTCACAGCCATCCTTGTCATGTCACAGCCATCCTTGTCATGTCACAGCCATCCTTGTCATGTCACAGCCATCCTTGTCATGTCACAGCCATCCTTGTCATGTCACAGCCATCCTTGTCATGTCACAGCCATCCTTGTCATGTCACAGCCATCCTTGTCATGTCACAGCCATCCTTGTCATGTCACAGCCATCCTTGTCATGTCACAGCCATCCTTGTCATGTCACAGCCATCCTTGTCATGTCACAGCCATCCTTGTCATGTCACAGCCATCCTTGTCATGTCACAGCCATCCTTGTCATGTCACAGCCATCCTTGTCATGTCACAGCCATCCTTGTCATGTCACAGCCATCCTTGTCATGTCACAGCCATCCTTGTCATGTCACAGCCATCCTTGTCATGTCACAGCCATCCTTGTCATGTCACAGCCATCCTTGTCATGTCACAGCCATCCTTGTCATGTCACAGCCATCCTTGTCATGTCACAGCCATCCTTGTCATGTCACAGCCATCCTTGTCATGTCACAGCCATCCTTGTCATGTCACAGCCATCCTTGTCATGTCACAGCCATCCTTGTCATGTCACAGCCATCCTTGTCATGTCACAGCCATCCTTGTCATGTCACAGCCATCCTTGTCATGTCACAGCCATCCTTGTCATGTCACAGCCATCCTTGTCATGTCACAGCCATCCTTGTCATGTCACAGCCATCCTTGTCATGTCACAGCCATCCTTGTCATGTCACAGCCATCCTTGTCATGTCACAGCCATCCTTGTCATGTCACAGCCATCCTTGTCATGTCACAGCCATCCTTGTCATGTCACAGCCATCCTTGTCATGTCACAGCCATCCTTGTCATGTCACAGCCATCCTTGTCATGTCACAGCCATCCTTGTCATGTCACAGCCATCCTTGTCATGTCACAGCCATCCTTGTCATGTCACAGCCATCCTTGTCATGTCACAGCCATCCTTGTCATGTCACAGCCATCCTTGTCATGTCACAGCCATCCTTGTCATGTCACAGCCATCCTTGTCATGTCACAGCCATCCTTGTCATGTCACAGCCATCCTTGTCATGTCACAGCCATCCTTGTCATGTCACAGCCATCCTTGTCATGTCACAGCCATCCTTGTCATGTCACAGCCATCCTTGTCATGTCACAGCCATCCTTGTCATGTCACAGCCATCCTTGTCATGTCACAGCCATCCTTGTCATGTCACAGCCATCCTTGTCATGTCACAGCCATCCTTGTCATGTCACAGCCATCCTTGTCATGTCACAGCCATCCTTGTCATGTCACAGCCATCCTTGTCATGTCACAGCCATCCTTGTCATGTCACAGCCATCCTTGTCATGTCACAGCCATCCTTGTCATGTCACAACCATCGTTGTCCTCCTTCCCACCCCGCTCTTTCCCTCCTTCTCCCCTCCCTCATCCCTCCTTCCACCCTTGTTCCTCTCGCTTTCCACCTTGCTACCTCTCCTTACAAATCTCTTCTTCTGTTATTCCATTGCCGCCCTCTTGTCCTCTCTCCCCTCTGTGGCTGCAGGTGCAGCTGACACTCAGGTACCGCCACTGCCACCACCACCACCACTGTTGCTACCACCAACACTGCCACTTCCACCACCACCACTGCAGCCGCCACTGCTGCCACCAACCAGACATGCGCCACGCCTCACGATTGCCATCCACCACACGTCACCCTCTCTCCTTCCTTCCTTCCTACCTCGGGCTTCTCCGTCTGCCTTGGTGCATTCCTTCATCCCCACTCGCCAATCTTCTTCCACCTCCTTTTCCCCCTACTTGAGTCTCTCTTCCCGAATTCTCCCCACCCTCTAAACCCCTCTCCAACCCCCGTTCCGTCCCACCATCCCCATGTGCACAGGCCAAGACAGTGACGGTGGGCAGGGGGTGGTTCAGCCCGTGGTCGTATGGCGTTGAGTCCTGGAAGCCTCCCCGTGTGAAGCCAGGAGACGTGCTCGGTAAGCCCATGCCAGCCCTTGGCAGCCCATGTGTGCACATGTGCTTACCAAGCCCCGTGTGTTGTGTTGCTGCACTCATGTCATGTGAGCCGTGTCATCCTTGCCCTCCCACCACTCCATCCTCCCCTCCCCTCCCCACTTCACCCTCCCAACCTCCCTCCGTTCTCCCAGTCTCCCTCTGCTGATTTATTCCTCTCCCCTCCTTACACCTCTTCCTCCTTTCCTCCGCCCCTACTCCCCACCTTGCAGTCTTCCGCTGGCGCATGGCAGCACATAGCGTGTGGCGCTTCAAGGCCCTTGCATATTAATCGTTCCCCCTTTTCATCTTCATTCCCCCGTTTTCCCTCCCCGTACGTCCTCCCCTCCTGTTCTCTCTCCCCCCCCCCCCCATCAGTGTTCCGCTGGCGCATGGCAAGGCATGACGTGTGGCGTCTCAGGGACGCATAAACCAACTGCACCCTCATTCCCCCTCTCCTTCGTTCTCCCCTTTCCGTTCTCCTCCCCACACCCCCCAGTGTTCCGCTGGCGCATGGCAAGGCATGACGTGTGGCAGCTCAGGGACTTGGCGGCCTACACCAATTGCACCTTCGCCACGGGAAAGAGGCTCAAGCACGTGCACATCTCCGAGCGCTACAAGTACTGCGCTGCTGCCCTTTCTGCTGCACACACCGTTCCAATCTCTGTTGAAATCACTTATGAGAATTCTCAAATGTGATTTCGCCACGGGTCAGACGCTCACCCGCGTCCACACCCCGCGCACAAATACAAGTGCGCTAATGCCTCCTCTGCTGCACATACCGTTTCAGTATCCTTGCACAACCCACCAGCACCACACTTCACCCCCATCACCCGCCGTCACCGTCCTTCACTATCCTTCCCCGCCCTTCACCAACTCTCACCAGCCTCCACCTACCTTAGGTTTGTCTCGTTGTTACTGTTGAGACTCCTTGCATGCCACGAGGTAAACACGCAGCCTGGGCGTTACTGTTGAGGATCCCCTGCAGAAATCCTGAAATCATTGCCTATCCTCGTGTTCCTATCTCAACCCTCTCAAACCCGCCGGACCCTCTCAACCGCTCTCAACCGTTTCAGGTACAAGGTGCCACGGACAGCAGCGGGTACAACTCTCTTCTTCGCCTGCAGCGTGGACGCTCACTGCAGCTCCTACCACATGAAGACAATGATTCCCATCTCGCCCTAGCCTGCCACCCAAGCTGCCTGCCATCCAAGCTGCCTGCCACCCAAGCTGCCTGCCATCCAAGCTGCCTGCCTGTACCATCTGAAACTGCCTGCAGCGCACCAACCAGAGCGACCATGTGACCTCATTGGAATGCCTTTCACATGAAGACAAAGATCCTCATCCCTTTACTGTCATGCGAAGCCGTTTGCACTGTCCCACTAGAACTCTCATGTCGCCATTTCTCATGACAACGCATTCATAATAAAGCGCAGCATCTCTTTTGGAAATCGTCCGTTTTGTGACCAATTTTTTTTTTGTACAATGTATTTTCAAGCTGTATTTGTTACATTAGACGGTTGCAGATTAATACTAATGTAAATTTTTGAAAGTGTGTAACACTTTCTAAAATTGTGTATTGTGAATAGCGAAGATATTTGTACCGAAGCAAAATGCTTCGGCGAACCGCTACTTCCCCTCTTTTTCGGTATAAAAGAGGGGGCGAAGGCCATTTGGCCTTCACCCACGTTTTTCATTTCAAACTTTCAGTTTTCAAGTTCCCCACCCTCCCACCCTATTATAGTAGAGAATTCATCGTTGTTACTATGTAATATGCTTGGACGATAAAAAATCTTGTACTTGCCAGTTGAAATGAGACGTTGCATTTGCAAAGACAAATAGCAAGCCTTCACAATGTGTAAGATATGGTTTAACAGCAGAGTAAACATCAAACTTTTCCATGGCGAACACATACAAACTATGCAGACACAAATGGCTAACATATTAGACACAGATTAGTAACCCTGTTGTTACTGATTTAATTTGCTTGCAAGGGTACAAAACGGAAGTTCTTGCACAGCCCACCCCTCATCTGTCCATCGTTTACAAAACAAAGGTTCTAGTTTAACTACTGAACCTTTACTGAACCTTCACGTACAAGGAGTGCTCAGGCCTACTACACTCTTCCTTGCCTATAAAGCGAATGGATATGAAAGCTGCACACGTGGCGGCCTCCTGTGGACTCGGCGGCCACACCAATACGCGGCTCGCTGCTTGCTGCCCGAACAGCGGAACTAGAACTCCTGTGGCTGGCGATTCCCTAGTTCTCGCCTCGCCGACAACCGCCATAGCTGCTTGTCTGTTGGCTTCTTTCTCTCCCAGTGTAGCCTTTGCGCCGCCGCGCAGTTTAACCTTTTCAGCCTGCAAAAGCCGTCCATGTCGCCCGAAAGGCGCGCGGTCGGGCTAGCCACCCTTACGAGCCGTGTGGGCCGCCGTCCATTTCTCTGCAGCAGCGAAGCGACGAGCCAAGTCGCAAGGAAGGACAGCGCCCCGCGCCGCGCTCAAGATCGAACCTTGCCGTGCCCTAACCTTACTCAGAGCTTAACGTAGCGCTCTGCCGCTGGTCACTCTGCACATATATTTCAATGGCGGCTTCAAGCCATCTTGGGAATATATTCTGCCCGTTTAGGTTGCACGCAGCGTTACCACGAGGCTAACAAACAGTTGCGGCACTGCGACACTGGTTGGAAGAAGAGAAACCGAGAGCCTTTCTCAACCCCTCTCTGCCATCCCAAGAGAACCAAGAGTCCAAGAAGTTTGTCTCTAAGAGCTCGAGCCGTTTCGCGATTAGCCATGGCGTCTACCCGCTCGACGATTCTCCTCTGCACGTTCGTGCTGCTCGCGCCGCGTGAGTCACCCTCTTCAACTGACTCTCCCCCAGAAAAATAATATTTTCCCCCCTTCGAAGTTCCCCGTTCGCGTTTCTCATTCCGCATGTCTCTTGATTCTAGCCGCAACTTATTTCCGGCTCCCTTGCCGCCCCTCCCCTCCCCTCCCCTCCCCTCCCCTCCCCTCCCCTCCCGTCGCCTCCTCACTCCTCTTTGATCCCACCTGCACGCCGTTTTCTCGGGCCCATTCTTCCCCTTTCCACGCTGCCGCTGCCGCTGATGGCGCTACAACGCCCACATGGCATGTGACGTGGCGGCCTACGACGTGGCATGTGACGTGGTGGCCTACGACGTGGCATGTGACATGGCGGCCTACGACGTGCTGCTGCTACGTGGATCATCACGGGCGTGCCTTTCGGTCTCTGTATGCTGCACACATGGCGTGTGCGTGCTGACGTCTGCCGCCAGTCCTGCTCCAAGCCCAGGCAAGCGCCCTGCAAAGAGCCGTTTTTTCATTTCAAGGACTGCAAAAGGGATCTCCAAGCTAATGCATTACTTACTACTAGTGGATACTTACTGCCTGCAGACCGCTGAAGCTTCGTCTGCATCAGCTGTCGCTTCACTCCTCTCTTTAACTCCTGTCTGACCTCTGTCTCTGCCTTTTTCCTACCCCCAACTCCGTCCCCTCCCTCCTCCCCTTTTCCTCCCTTCCACAGGCGAAGACGGTGCTGGTGGGGTACGGCCCCCTGCCGTGGTCCTTCCAAGTTGGCCGGACGTGGCGCCAGCCCGTTGTCAGGCCCGGTGACGTGCTCGGTGAGTCAACGCCAGTCAACGCCTGGCGGGGGCATGTGCCAGGCTAGCTGTGAAATGCTTTGGTGAGCGGGGCGGGGTCCTAATGACAATCAGATAAACTGGCACGTGGCATGGGCGGGACCTGTGAGACGGGACCTGGGGCTCCTCAAAGGACATCGGTTCTGAATTCCCATGCACGCGCCGCCTCTTGCATTGCTTTAACTCCAAATTCCCATGCACTTGCCGCCTCCCTCGCTCCTTCCCTCCCTTCCCTCCCCTCCTCTAGCCCCACCTGTCCACACGTACCACCACGCGGTGCCCTGCAACATTCAAGTGGGGCTTCTGGCCGCACGCACGGCGTGCGTGCGCAAGCTGCTGCAGTCATTTATTTGATATGTCTCAATGAACGCCTCTGCACCACCCCATTTCTCCCCCGTCTGACCTCGCCACCACCCCCAACCACCCGCACCGCACGCACCACCGCCATGGCAACCGCAGTGTTCAAGTGGGGCTTCTGGCCGCACGGAGTGCGCAAGCTGGCGAGCGCCACAGCTTACGACAACTGCGACTTCAGCGGCAGCTCCACCGTCGCCCGCGTGCGCTGCTTTGGCTATGCCAGGTATCACTCTCCCTCTGCCCTTTTTACTTAAACAAAAGTCGAATAAGGTCGCCCCCGTGCGCTGCTTTGGCCATGCCAGGTATCACTCTCCCTCTGCCCTTTTGACTTAAACAAAAGTCGAATAAGGTCGCCCCCGTGCGCTGCTTTGGCCATGCCAGGTATCACTCTCCCTCTGCCCTTTTGACTTGACTCAAAAGTCAAATAAGGTCGCCCGCGTGCGCTGCTTTGGCCATGCCAGGTATCACTCTCCCTCTGCCCTTTTGACTTAAACAAAAGTCGAATAAGGTCGCCCCCGTGCGCTGCTTTGGCCATGCCAGGTATCACTCTCCCTCTGCCCTTTTGACTTGACTCAAAAGTCAAATAAGGTCGCCCCCGTGCGCTGCTTTGGCTATGCCAGGTATCACTCTCCCTCTGCCCTTTTGACTTGACTCAAAAGTCAAATAAGGTCGCCCCCGTGCGCTGCTTTGGCCATGCCAGGTATCACTCTCCCTCTGCCCTTTTGACTTGACTCAAAAGTCAAATAAGGTCGCCCGCGTGCGCTGCTTTGGCCATGCCAGGTATCACTCTCCCTCTGCCCTTTTGACTTGACTCAAAAGTCAAATAAGGTCGCCCCCGTGCGCTGCTTTGGCCATGCCATGTATCACTCTCCCTCTGCCCTTTTGACTTGACTCAAAAGTCAAATAAGGTCGCCCGCGTGCGCTGCTTTGGCCATGCCAGGTATCACTCTCCCTCTGCCCTTTTGACTTGACTCAAAAGTCAAATAAGGTCGCCCCCGTGCGCTGCTTTGGCCATGCCATGTATCACTCTCCCTCTGCCCTTTTGACTTGACTCAAAAGTCAAATAAGGTCGCCCCCATGCGCTGCTTTGGCCATGCCAGGTATCACTCTCCCTCTGCCCTTTTGACTTGACTCAAAAGTCAAATAAGGTCGCCCGCGTGCGCTGCTTTGGCCATGCCAGGTATCACTCTCCCTCTGCCCTTTTGACTTGACTCAAAAGTCAAATAAGGTCGCCCGCGTGCGCTGCTTTGGCCATGCCAGGTATCACTCTCCCTCTGCCCTTTTGACTTGACTCAAAAGTCAAATAAGGTCGCCCACGTGCGCTGCTTTGGCCATGCCAGGTATCACTCTCCCTCTGCCCTTTTGACTTGACTCAAAAGTCAAATAAGGTCGCCCGCGTGCGCTGCTTTGGCCATGCCAGGTATCACTCTCCCTCTGCCCTTTTGACTTGACTCAAAAGTCGAATAAGGTCGCCCGCGTGCGCTGCTTTGGCCATGCCAGGTATCAGTCTCCCTCTGCCCTTTTGACTTGACTCAAAAGTCAAATAAGGTCGCCCGCGTGCGCTGCTTTGGCCATGCCAGGTATCACTCTCCCTCTGCCCTTTT